GAAACTTGCCACCACAAACTGGAAGAAGTGCCAGCCGATTATCCCGTTCTGGAAGGGCCCGCCTTCCAACCACGCAGCGGTTGAGCAATGTTGCACGTCGGGTCGGCATTGTCGATGACGTCGCAAGGTGGTACCCCACTTCAGAGACGCCTTCCAACTTCTTGTGTAACTGTTGCAAGGTTCTGCAGTTGCAAAAAAAAAGATTCTGCACAAGCTTCACTTTGGAAAGATGCCACCCTCTATGCGCGGCGCTCACTTTCACACGTGATAGTGAAGTCTCAAGCGGGAGCTCCGAATTGAAAAAAAAGTCGTTCCATCCTGCTGGACGCTGTAAACGGTTTAGAGGTGTGCGCGGCGCTACGGCGGGAGCCACATTCCGAGAACGGGCCCCCCCTCCATTCTCATAGCTGTTGCAGACACTGAAAACGAATGTGCGCAGCACTGTGTCGAGAACCGCGTCTTCTCACCGACCAGCTGGCCACCCCGTGTGACCGTGGAACGCTCCAGCTTCGGACTCGCCGCAGGGGGGAAGTCTCGGGCCGTCCCGGGCGAAACGCCCAGACCTTCCTGCCGACACGCCGGCGGGCGCGAGGCGGAGGACCTGCTGGCACAGGAACGGACCACGCCGTGAACAGAAAACGTTCGAAGCTCCGCGCGGAGGTCCGAACACCTTGCGGCTGGCTTTGGGAGAACATGGCGTGCAGCATCGGTCTCCCGGGAGCCGGGCATCCCTCGGGGGCGATGCCTCCGCGAGGGCCCGTGCCGTGCCCGCCATCCCCCTGCCAGGGCTTCTTCGGCGTCCGCGGTCCCCGGGGTGGTCATGGCCGGGCCAGCGGCGCCACGTATCGCGCGCCACCTGTCCTTCGTGCTCCACTCTGTGCACGCCGTTCCTCACTTCCGCCACCTCGTCGACGAGAGCAGTCCGCAGGCGGTGGCGCCTCCAACGGTGCCCGAGAGGGTAGGGCATGGCCAGCGCGCCCTGGCGACGTGCGCCTGTATTGGAGCAGCTGCGGCTGTAATAGAGACAGGTCTCGAAGGAACTGTGCGGGCGGAGGTCGAGCGCGCAAGGGATGACCCCGCGCCAGCCCACAAGATGTGGAGGAGCTGCTCACAAGGAAGAGGGACGGAGGGGGCGGCCACCCCAGCCGCCTGGGGCGAGAACGCCGAGGGGGTCACCAGCGTCACAGCGTATTTGAAGCCTCCCGCCTGGGGGCCAGCCCGGGTCGCAGGGGCGGGAAGGGGAGGGAGACGGATGGAGAGAAAGGAAGATCCTCCTCCTCCTCCTGGGAGAGAGAGAGAGAGAGAGAAATATGGAGAGAGAGAGAGAGAGAAACACAGAGAGAGAGAGAGAGGGAGAGAGAACAAATAAAGAGAGAGAGAGAGAGAGAGAAAAAAAAACAAAAACAAAGAAACGAGAGGACGCGACGGGACAGGACGGGGCGGGGCGAAGGAGGGATGGGGATGGGCATGGTGGAAGGGGAGTTGGCGGCGCGCAGAAGGGGGTGGAGGGAGGGGGGAAGACTTCTTAGCAGGAGGCTGCTTCTTAGAAGGCGGCGGCCTTACATCTATACATAAGGACGGCGCCTTCTAAGAAGCAGGGGTGCTTCTAAGAAGCCTTCCCCCTCCCCATACCCCCATCTGCGCGTGGCCGAGGGAGGGTGAATGAAAGAATGCTGTTTCGCACGCTGATGTTTCATCTGCTTGTGGTTCGCTGTTGTTTTGTCCGCTTTTGTTTCGCCCATTTCTGTTTCACCCGCTCGTGTTTCGCCCACATTTTGATTAATCTGCCTTTTGCGTCGTCCGCTGTTATTTCGTCCACTTTCGTCTCGTCCACAATTTCTTTCGCCCGCTTTTGATTCGTCCCCTTTCGCTTTGCGTGTTTTCGTTGTTACTTCATGGCAATCGAGGTAAAGCGAACTAAGACTGGGCGAGGTAAAACTGGGCGAAGTACAATAGGGCGAACTAAAACTGGGCGAACTAAACTGGGCGAAATCGGCAAATCCAAGCCGGACGAATTTCTACCGGGCAAATTGAAACCAGATAGGTCTAACTCATGCGATTTACAGACAGGCGAGTTACAAGCGGCCGAATTAAATGCAGGCGAAGTGGAACCGGGCGCATTAATCCTGGATGAATTTAAACAGGGTGAAATCAAGCCAAGCGGGTTCAATTCTGGCGAGTTGCAGCTGGATGGCCTGAAAATGTGACAAATCGAAAAGGCTACACTGTGCGACGCTCTACTCGGCCGATTCGAAGGTGTGAGGATCGAACGCGGGAGCGAATGGGTGGGCCTGCCACAGGTTTCCATCAGCCGGTGCGCGTGACAGGCGTTTGTGGTAACTGCGCTGCCCAATTTCCATCCTCCTCATTTTCCTCCCTCTTTCTCCGCCTGTTTCTTTTCAGGGAGCTAACCTACTCATCCCGCAGATAGGGTTTCGGTGGACTTTGACTTGCCTCGCTGTATTTCTGAACGCGCGCTGCTGTGTGGCGGTTCCCTTGTCCATACAATGGGCAAGAAGTGACAAGCCCACGCGAAACGCTTGGCCTGGTTGACGCACATGTCTGGTGAAATCACACGGGAACATGTTTGATACGGGTGAGGGAAGGAGGAGCAGGAGGGTGAGGAGGAGGAGGAAGAGGGGGAGGAGGGCGAAGACGAGGAGGAGGCGGAGGCACGAGGAGAACTAGGCCGGCACAGTTCTCATTCTTTGGCGTTTGTCCGCCTGGGCACCCGCGGCCAGACGACGGCATCGGCGACGACGGCGGTGACGACGACAACGGCGACGGCTGCGACCGGTTCTGGTTCAGGGGGTGGTGGCCCTCTTCGTGCTCCTCCTCCTCCTCCTCCTCATTATCTTCCTCGTCCTCCTCCTCCTCCTTATCCCCCTCCCTTCCTCTCTACTCCTTATTTCCCTCTCACTTCTCCCTCCTCTGCTCCTCCGTCGTCTCTCCTGCCTCACTCCTTACTCATGCGTCTCTCTTGTTTCTGCTTCCCAGAGAAATGTGAAGGTTCCCTGGAGACGCCCAGAGGCCCCAAAGTGGCAGAAAAATAAATACACTATGATCCGAGGCCTTGATTCTTTGATTTCGAGCTTTCGTGACATCGGGGAGTGTGAGGAGGACGCTCGGTTTGGGCCCCTTCGAAGATACTTACAGTGCGGACCATTAATTATCCTGGCGAAGGACCCAACCATAAGCAATTGTTCGTAATGCGTTGTGGGTGCCGCTTTCGGTGGGGCTCCCTATGGGGCCACGAAACGCTGCCTTGGGTGGGGGGAACGCAAGCGAGAGCAGCCACTGGGGCCTTCGGTGGAGCTCCCTATGGGGCCACGAAGCGCTGCCCTGGGCGGGGGAACCGCATGCGAGAGCAGCCACTGGGGCCTTCGGTGGGGCTCCCTATGGGGCCACGAAGCGCTGCCCTGGGTACGGAAAGCGCATGCGAACTGCGCCACAGTGGCCTTCGGTGGAGCTCCCCATGGGGCCGCCCTGGGCGGGGGAACCGCATGCGAGAGCAGCCACTGGGGCCTTTTGTGGAGCTTCCTATGGGGCCACGAAACGCTGCCGCGGGTGGGGGGACCGCATGCGAGAGCAGCCACTGGGGCCTTCGGTGGAGCTCCGTATGGGGCCACGAAACGCTGCCCACGGTGGGGAAACGCATGCGAGAGCAACCACTGGGGCCTTCGGTGGAGCTCCGTATGGGGCCACGAAACGCTGCCCTGGGTGGAAAGAACGCATGCGAGAGCAGCCACTGGGGCCTTCGGTGGAGCTCCCTATGGGGCCACGAAGCGCTGCCCAGGGCGGGGGAAACGCATGCGCGAGCAACCACTGGAGCCTTCGGTGGAGTTCCCTATGGGGCCACGAAGCGCTGCCCAGGGTGGGGGGAAACGCATACGAGAGCAGCCACTGGGGCCTTCGGTGGAGCTCCCTATCGGGCCACGAAACGCTGCCCAGGGTGGGGGAAACGCATGCGAGAGCAACCACTGGGGCCTTCGGTGGAGCTCCCTATGGGGCCACGAAGCGCTGCCCAGGGCGGGGGAAACGCATGCGCGAGCAACCACTGGAGCCTTCGGTGGAGTTCCCTATGGGGCCACGAAGCGCTGCCGAGAGTACGGGAAACAAATGCGAGAGCAACCACGGGGGCCTTTTGGTGGAGCTCCCTATGGGGCCACGAAACGCTGCCCTGGGTGGGGGAAACGCATGCGAGAGCAGCCACTGGGGCATTCGGTGGAGCTCCCTATGGGGCCACGAAACGCTGCCCAGGGTGGGGGAAACGCATGCGAGAGCAAAGCAACCATTGGGGCCTTCGGTGGAGCTCCCTATGGGGCCACGAAACGCTGCCCTGGGTGGGGGAACCGCATGCGAGAGCAGCCACTGGGGCATTCGGTGGGGCTCCCTATGGGGCCACGAAGCGCTGCCCTGTGTGGGCGAAACGCATGCGAGAGCAACCAGTGGGGCCTTCGGTGGAGATCCCTATAGGGCCACGAAACGCTGCCCAGGGTGTGGGAAACGCATGCGAGAGCAGCCACGGAGGCCTTCGGTGTCCTCGTCCTCGTCCTCGTCCTCGTCCTCGTCCTCGTCCTCGTCCTCGTCCTCCTCCTCCTCCTCCTCCTCCTCCTCCTCCTCCTCCCCACCACCCTCATCGCTCCAGCGAAGGGCTACTCCTACGATCAGCCGGGGAGGGCCCAGAGCGGAGAAGGAGCCTCGGGGGGCAGCCGAGGGCGATAGGGGGCCGGCCAAGAGCTCCGAGCGCGTGCCCACGCCTGCACGGCTTCTCCCGGGGCCGTAGGCGACCCGAGGAGGAGGAGGAGGAGGAGGAGGAGGAGGAGGAGGAGGAGGAGGAGGAGGAGGTGGAGGAGGAGGAGGGGGAGGAGGAGGAGGAGGAGGAGGAGGAGGAGGAGGAGGAGGAGGAGGAGGACGACGAGGCGGAGGACGGGTCGCCTAAGCCCTTCGGAGAAACCCTCCACCCGCGCCCGCCGCCTCGAGGCCAGCGGCATCGTCGCCTAGGTTCGACCTGAACCTGCGGGGCGGGCCGGACATGCGCACCGGGTGGAGAGGTTCAGATCACGTGTTCCTGCGGATGAGACCGCCACCCAGTGGCATGCACGATGTAGACAGCAACCCGCTAGACGGACCGGGAATGTAACACAGCACTTCAGCAAGAGCGCACACGCGGATGGGAGAAAGAGAAAACAGGGAAGGACAATGGACGCAAAGCAGGCGGCAACCGGAGAAGTTTAGACAATGCGGCCAAGCAGTTGAACAACACATCGGGCAGGGACGATCGAGGAAATCCGCAGACGCTTCGGCGTGGAAGACGCTTGCGTCATCGTCGTTGTCGTTCGCGGGATCTGTGACCTTGAGACCATTTATTTTTCCACACTAAATAATTCCACATTTGCCTGTCTGCCCCGCTTTCTCGGGCAAAGCGTCTTCTGTAGCTCCAGGGTGCCCGGCTCGAACACCGAGCGCCGCACAGGATCTAAGCCGGGTCGGCGTGCTAACCATGAAAATATGTTGCCGTCTCGCCTGGCAATCGCTGAGCTTCGGCTGCTCGACCATGGAGAATATAGTAGCGTTCGAGACTCTGCTGGGGGGTACTTTGCAAAGCCTCCTGACGCACCGGTTCTGGAAACTGTCCAGCCTTCGACGTTTTGCTTGGTTAGGGCACGCAGCAAAGAGGGAACACTTGGGTTTGGACACCACGCAAACAGTCAAGACGTGTACCTTCTGGTATCTGGAAAGAGAGGCGTGAGACCAGATCGCGCGCAGCGCCTTGAAGTCCTGCATTGCTGCTCAAAGTCTGCGGCTCAACTCAGAGGCGCACCTCCCGTCGGCGGACAGCGACATGCCAAGGTAGATGAGGGACTGCTTGTTGAGAAGGAGCGTGCCAGCGTTGTCCACGATGTCCTCCTTCGTCCGCACCTTCATAATCTCCACTTTCTTCCAGATTAAGTGGTGGCCATAATTCGCCTCAAACTTCTCAACGGAGGTCATCAATTCTTGGACTGCCCCTGCGGTGGCTGCGGTGGCGCCCATCAGGAAGGTGTCGTCCGCGTACACCACGTCACTGACCAACTCTTCTGGAACCTGCCCACCTCGTCGCTCCCGCAATTCCTTGTGGGCGTCGTGAAGGGAGTGGCCTTCTCATAAACCTCGTGCTCATCCGAAGGTATGACCGAACGCCTGAGCCTCGAGCGCCGGATTGAAATACCAGGATGCCCGGTCTCTGGACAGCGAGCTATCACCAATGTTGGGCGCTTCACTTACATACAGCCGACGATTCGCAGCCGAGACGACACGGAGAGGGGGGCGAGGCAGCATCAAGCCCCAGAAGCCACTGAAGCAAGAAGCAGCCGCATGCCCAATAATCATCCCAAGCGCCTTCCGGCATTCAAAAAGGCTTTCGCCTTCGCTGCCTCCAGCGGCAGCACGAGAAGCTATGGCCAGTCGGGCAGCCTCCATACCGGCCTGCCGCTCATACACTGAGAATTGCAGCCTGCCCTCACTCCATGGCACGCTGCAAGGCAAGCTGGTCGAGCTGCAGACGCTCTTCGCCACCGTTCCCGAAGCGGCGAATCGGGGACTCCGATATTGTCTCCCAGTCGATGTGCGTTGCTGAAGGAGTGCCGATTAGACCAAGTTTTTCAGCAAGCTGCCTGTCCAACTCGGCGCCTTGCAACAAGTTTCAGAGACGGGTTTGGGGGGAGGGGTGCGAAGCAAGGGCATTCCGCAGTTGTTATCATGTTTCATCGCCACCCCGCCATGGGTGTGGGCACTTTCTGTCCGGGCACCGGAGGACGAGAAAAAACGCGGAGTGCAATCGGAAAACTGCTTCGCGCCCTCGTCCATGCCGTCCTCGTCCTCCTTCTGCTACTCCTCCTGAGTGACACCCCAGAGCCAACGAGCAACTAGCAGCATCTCTTGGGCTGCCTGACCTGCCCGCGGCAGGGAAGCGGCCAGGGGAGGTGGAAGATGTGAGGAAGGCTGATCGTAAACCGACAGCTGTGGCCTGGCTCTCATGGCCCGGGGCCCTGCGGGACCAGATCCCCGCACCGGCCGGGGACCGCGCCCGCACAGCTCAGGCAAGCGCGCGCAGGAGGCGCTGCCCTCCTGGGTTCAAGGAGGCGGTCGTGTGGGAGGAATATGTTGTTCCAGTGTCTGTACGCAGCAATCAGCGACCTCACGAAGAAGAAGGGGCCCAGGAACATACATATATATAGATAGAGAGAGAGACATGTGTATATGTATATATATATAGATGTGGATATAAGACACACAAGTCCCAGGACCACATGTTCCTAAGATGTTATTGATTTTCGTCTTCCACCCCACATACCATTTTTCCCATATTGACTTAGGAATCGACGATTACTTGTGTCTGTGTTTTGTCCCTCCTGAGAAGAGAGGGAGGCGGGGGGAGCGAGCGGGCAAACCAACATCGCTTCCGACAGCAGCGGCCGCCCCGAGCACCCCGACCGAGCCGCGCCAAAGGCTCTGGCCTTCGCGGACGCGCCTGGGTACAATCCTCTGGCCAACTTCGACGAGGCCTCACTCCCAGCATGCTGGAATGGAGGAACAGCGAAGAACATACATGAGGGCTTTCGGAGTTCCGCGCGGACTTCTTGTATCGGTGCTGGACGTTCTTCCTTGGCGCGCTCCGCGCGCCAGGGGCGGCGCAAGGGGCTTCACCAGGGGACTCCAGCGCAGATCCGATAAACCTGCGCGCATCTTCGACAATATATGTGCTTCTAATTTGTTCTTCGATCGAAGGCTCACTCCCGGCTTGCTGGACGGAGGGGGGGCGAGGGAGGAATCGGGGAATTGCGGGTAGGAGAGGCCCCAGCATCTGCCCTCCCGACAACCTCGAGACTGGCGGCGGCGGCTGGTCGAAGCCCATGCGGCTGGCGTCCATCTCTAGCCGCGCGGGCCCCCGCTGACTGGAGGCACTGCCAATTTGGCAGAGTATGAATTGTCCCCTGACGCGATGCGCTCCCGCTGGGAGAAAGGATGGGCGCCGTAGCACAGAAAACAACACGACTCACCATGAACAGTTAGAGCTGGCCCTCGCGGAGCGCTCCCTGTGCTGCGGCTCTTGGACAACAGGAAACTGGACTCGTGAACTTTCGACCGATTTCTTTTCTGTGCGATATCTTTCAATTGGGCAGGAGAGCCCAGAATCGAATCGACAAGTCGGATCGGCGATCGAAATGAATCGGATCGGCGGAAATCGGCAGACGAGTCGGGAAAAGTCGAATCGATAGAAATCGGCAGGCTAGCTTGCCTCCAGTAAGGAATGGGAACCCAAATCGGAATTCGAAGCCGAATCGAATCGGAATCGGAATCCATCGAAGTCGAATCGAAATCGGACCGGAGGAATCGAAACGAGCCCTGAATTGGGCGTGTGCGAGTGGAGGTCGTCTTCCCAACGGAACCACCGCGTGCGTCTTGGGCGCCGCGGCCTCCCTCCGACCACGCCCACGATGCCTAACATCACTCGTCGCCTCGCTGGCAGGAGTGGGGGGGCGCCTCAGACTATGAGGCCGTGTGAAGTTTCCTGGCCAGGGAGGGGGAGCAGGAGGAGGAGGAGGAGGAGGAGGAGGAGAAGGAGGAGGAGGAGGAGGAGGCCAGCACAAGGCAGCTGGCTAGGGGGCTGGGCCACGTCGGAGGCGGCAGCGGGGCGCCCGCGAGCAGGCTGCTGGAGGCTGCGGCGGCCGCCGCCGCGGGCGCGCCTATGGGCCGGGCGGGGGGAGATTCAGACCCCCAACGTCGCAACCGCTGGCCCGCGGCCCGCGGCGGCTTCGGCGCTGGCCCAGGGAGTGCCACTACGGGTTCGTGGTGGTGCTCTTCGTGCTCCCAGGTAACGGAGTCTAGAGGCCCCGGTTGGCGGACCCCTCTGGCCCCCCCGGGAGTCGCTGCTGTCGTCGACGGGTGCCGCCCGCTTCGCGGGGCGGCGGAGGTGTCCGCCGGCTCCCGACCACAGAGCGTCGGGGCGCGCGGGACAGACTCGCGGCCGCCAGGAGGAGGAGGAGGAGGAGGAGGAGGACCAGAACGATTATGCGGTTCCTGGCTGGCGTCGGTAAAGTTTCGAACCGAAGCATCACATTACACAGTCTGCTGTAGTAGGGGGGCGGGTTGCGGCCCTGTGTTCCCTTCAGGGTGAGCGGCGACAGGTGCTTCCTCCCCCCCTCATACCACCTGTGCAGGCTCTCCTCCGCCTCCCCCCATTCACCCCCTGCCCACTCTGTTCGCGTTTTATCCGCATGCCATTTCTCCAACAGAGACAGGACTCACGACGCGCCGAAGAGCCCAACCCTATGCAGCTGTGGGTAACGCCAGATATGGCTCACTCCTCATGGGTAGCGCGACGCGAGGGGGATGAACCCTGGGGCAGTGCAAGTGGCGATCACAAAGCGTGTGAGGAGATGTGTCGGATCGGGCGGAGGCGCCATGTTGACCATGCCACTTGGGCCTATACGCAGCCACGAAGCGTGCGAGGGGCGTGCCAAAATGAAACGGTGCCGAGGCGGACCCTGCCATTTCGGCCTTCGGTAGAGCTCCCTGTGGGACCACGAAACGTGTGAGCAGTGTGCCGAAATGAGGCGGCGACGCCATGCGGATTTTTCGATTGGGGTCTTCGGTAGGGGCTCCTTGTGGGGCCACGAAACGTGTAAATGTTGTGCCGGGTTGAAGCAATTGCGGACTTCGTCGTTGGGGCCGCGAAGCGTGTGAAGCTCAATGAGGCCGTGGGTGGAGCTCCCCGTGGGGCCACGCAATCTTTGAGGGGTGTGCCAGAATGGGCGCGGTGCCGCCATGCGGTCGCGCCCGCTCAGACTGCAGGTGGAACTCTCCACGGGGGCCACACATCGCCAGATGGGTGTGCGGCAACGAGCGCGGTGCCGCCATGCGGCCGCACACATTTGCCGAGATGGGCTCGGCTCCGCCGCACGGGCGTGCCCACTGGGCCAGTATATAGAGAGCAACGTATGGGCCACGAGAAATGTAATGGGGCATGCCGAATCAGAGGCGGGAAGATTTTCATGGAGCCACGAAAAGAGCGAAGGGTGTGCCGGCATGAACGGGGAATGCGCGTGTGATACCCTGCCACGGAAGCCATCGGTGGAGCTCCCTGTGGAGCCACGAAGGGCGTGAGAAGTGTGCCGGAATGGGCGGGGAGACATACGACACCCTGCCGCTGAGGCCTTCAGTGGGTTTCCCTACGGGGCCACGAAACATGTGATGGGTGTACAGAAAGAAACGCGGGGGCCAAGCTCCGTATGGGGCCACGAAACGCGGGAGAGGTGAGCCGCAGTGGGGGGACAGCATTCTAGACCATTGCACGGAGGCCTTCGGTGGAGCTCCATGTGTGACCACGCAACGTGTGAGAGGGGTGCCGAAATGGGCGGGGGGTGGGGTCGCAGGCAATACCTTGCCATGGAGCTCTTCGGTGGAACCCCCTACGAAGCCACGGAGCGTGTGAGGGGTGTGCCGAAATTGGCGGGTGGACCGCGTGCGCAATCCTGCCGCTCAAGAGCTCGTGTAGGGCCGCGAAAAAAAAGTGCGACGGGCGCGCTGAAATATGCGGGGGGGCACATGCAATACCTTGCCGCTCAGGCCTTTTGGTGGATCTCCCTGTGAAACCACGGCACGTGTGGGGGGGGGGGGGGGGCGTACCGACATGGACACGCGGAGAGCAGAAGGATAAGCGCATCGGAGGCGGGTCCCTGCCGTGGGTACGACGAATGGGCCTCTGCGAACGATATGTATGGGGGCCCCTTGCTCTTACAGGAAAAGGGGGGGATCAGAGCAGAGCAGCGCGCGCCACTGTCCGCCGGGCAGCCGGGCATGGAAGGCCGGCGCGGGCGGGACGTGGCGCGCGCCGCTGCAGTCTCGAGACGAGGACCCAACTCACACACACAAAGTTTGGGAACAACGGTCCGGGCGAAGGGCCCAGCCGTGTGCAAGTGTGGGCACCGCAGAGAAGCGGGACGAGCAGAACAGGGGAACCCGCCGTGGGACCACGCAGAATGCGAGGTGTGCGCCGGAATGGGCGGGGGAGGCATGCGAGACATGACACAAGAGTCTTCGGTGGAGCTCCCTGTGAGGCCACGAAATGTGTTGTGTGTGTGTGTGCCGAAATGAGCGGGGGGACGCAGGCGAACCCTGCCACAACCTTCGGTGGAGCTCCCTGTGGGGCCACGGAACGTGCGAGGGGGTCGCCGAAATGGGCGGGTAGCCACAGGCGAACCCTGCCGCAGGAGACTTCTGTGGAGCTCCCTGCGACGGCGCTGAAATGGGCGGGGGGAAGCATACGAACCCTTCCGAAGGAACCACCTTCGGAGGAGCTCTCTGTGGGTCCACGAAGAGTGTGAGGGGTGTGCCGAACCTGGCAGCGGACGTAGTCGAACCCAAAAGAAAACAGGCGCAGGACCCAACCATACGCAGTTGCAGTTGTGAGTAACGCGTTGTGGAGCTTCCTGTAGGGCCACGAAACGCGTGAGGGACGTGCCGTAGTGGGTGTGGGCGACGCGCGCGGGCGGTGCCGCTGGGGCATTCGGTGGGGCTCCCTATGGGCCACGAGACGCTGTACTGGGCGTGGCGGACGCAGGAGGGCGGCGCCCGTTCGCTGGAGCTCCCGATGAGGCTACGAAACGCTGTGCTGGTTGGGGGAGCCGCACGCGGGCTGTGCCATTGGGATCGGTCTGTGGAGGTCCCTACGGGGCCACGAAACGCGGTACTGGGTAGTGGCCGACGCATGCGTGCCAGTGGGGGCTTCGGTGAAGCCCCCTATGGGGCCACGAAGCGCTGTACTGGGAAGGGGTGCGCATGCGGGCGGTGCCACTCGGACCTTCTGGGCCCCGCGGCGATCCGCTGCGCCCGCGGCGGGGCGGGCTCAAACCCATGGAGGACGATCTCACGCAAGCCCGCGTCGATGCCGACGCATCCCTCAAACGGACCGCGCCCCGCAGGGAGCTCCGCTTGCTGCGCCTGTGAAGGCGCCCGCGGGGCTCCCCGGTTCATTTTCTCCTCGCCATTTCCTAACAAAATTACATCCTCCTTTTCCGTCTATCCTTTCACCTTTCTCAGATTCAATCATCCACTTCTTCCCATCCCCACCCCCTCCATCTCCTGACGCGTCCCCCTTCCACAATCTCCCGCCTCATTTTCTCCTGTTCGTCCTCCGCGTTCGTCCTCATCCTCATCCTCCTCTTCGTCCCCATCCATCCTCATTGTCGTGTCCTCATGTTCCTCCCTACTTCCGTCCTCCCTCGCCTCCTACCCGCTCAACCTACGGCGCTGGCGACGGCGTCCACATGCGCTCCCGCGCCCATGTCGGCGCACACTTCATGCGGATGGTGCCCCATGTGGAGTTGCGCCTACGGCACCAACGACGGCGCACGCATGTCGGCCCGCGCTCATTCTGGCCCAACCCAGCGCCTGACTGAACCAATTTTGGACACGTAACGTGCTCAAAGCTGGCTTTGGGCCTCCAACCCTCAATCACCATCGGCACCATCCAAACCACAAGCCTCATCGCCAGGGCATGAAACAACGTTGGACCCTTCGGTGGTCAACCTTTGCTTCATAATGGATCATTTTGTCGCTGGTGATCGAACCTGGGCCCCCCTGGAGACTGAACCACTTTTGGGCACGCAAAGTATCCACAATTTGTTCCGGGGGAACCTGGTCACGGGTGGCCCACAAGGAGCTCAAGCTATACGACTGCTGGACGTACACGGGGAAGCCACACCGGAGCGTTTTAGGGGTCATTCGTCTGTCTAAGCCGACGCGGCGGCATCTGAACCATGCGCGCTGCGCTCGGCAATCTAACGGATGCGCAGGCAACAGCCGCAGGGCACCACCGCGCGCGCGTGCGCAGTGTAGCATCACATGACGGCGTGTTAGGCCCAAAAAACACGTAAAACGAACTTTGCTTATAATATAACGTACATGTGCAAAAAAACGGCGCGACCAAAATTGCACGATTGCAGCAGTCAAGCAACATAACGTCTAGTTACGCAGGTCATTCTATTATCTCGCCACCGCCCTACCAGCCTGACTACGGGCGTGTCGTGCGTGGGCCGCGGCGCTGGTTTGGGGCGGGCGGCGGATGGTTTCGCGTGGCTGGGATGGGATTGCAAGGCCTGCGACTCTATTCAATCCCCTTCCCCTTTCGCAAATGAGGGCCCCCTCACAAGCTTCGGCCAGGACGGCCCCAGTAGCTGCTCCAGCATAGCCGCGAGCTGGCTCAGCCTGGGGATCAAGCGGCAGAGGGCGCAGCCCTGCAATGTATGTTCGAGCGGGCCCCGCAGCCAGCGGCTCATGGATGAGGGAGGGGGACTTCCCTTGGGGGTCCCAAAACCGTGGTGGTGACAGACCTGCGGTGACCTCGAAATCCGCAAAGACCTCACCGCAGGGGCCGTCACTACACGGATTTGGGACCTCGGAGGCCCCAGTCGCCCGAGACATCCTCGGAGCACGACCCAACTCCCAAAAGCATTGGTGAACCCGAATCCCCACCGACTCACCACACGGCGTGGTCACCACACCGCTTGGGGCCCCCCATTCCTTGCCCCCGCCCCCCCCCCCCCAAGATCCCACTCCTCCCTCCCCCGCGCACGGAGGCACCGCCAAGCACCGATCCGGGGAGAGTGCGGCGGAGGCGGCGGAGCCACCCCGCATCATCACCAGGTCGGGGGAGCCGCGCAACACCTTGCCCCACCCTCGCCGCCGACCCCGGCGGGGGCGAACGTTCCTTCTCCTCCTCCTGCTGCTGCTGCTCCTCCCCCTCCTCCTCCTTTTCCTTTTCCTCCTCCTCCTCCTCCTCCTCCTCCTTCCTGCTCCTTCCTCCCAAGTAGCAGGGTGTGCATGTCGGCCTCGGGCGATTTCAGCGCACCGCTCACGAGGATCGTGGCCCCATAGAGAGCCCCACCGAGGGCCCCAGTGGCAAGGTTCGCATGCTGGCCTAGGGCGATTTCGGCACACCCCTCGGGCGATTACGGCACACCACTCGCACGCTTCGTGGCCCCATGCGGAACCCTGGACGAAGGCCTCAGTGGCAACGCCCGCGTGCGTCCCCCGCTCATTTCGGCACACCCCACGCACGTCTCGGGGCTCCCATCCGCGATGCCCTGTGCTCCATCCTTCTCGCGGCGCGCTACTTGTGACGCGAGGGGCATATCCTGCGATACTCGCAGCTGCATATGGTCGGGTCCTTCGCTTGGCTAAGTGTTTCGTTATGTTTGTGGTCATCGCGCTTCCAGGCTTCAGTAATCCCAAGACGGCTTATGAGGTCTCCAAGATTGCCCCAAGAGAGCCCACAAGAGCTTCAACATGAGCTCACGCGCCCAAGACGACCTCAATAATGCCAAGAGGGCGCACAGACTGCCGAGGGCGGTCCCAAGAGAGCCTTAATGCGGTCCCAGAGATATCCCGAAGGACTCAAGACACTCTAAGTGAGCCCCTCGACTGCCCCACAACGGCCCCAAGAGACCATCCAGACGGCCACGGGAGCCCAAAGACTGCCCAACAGATCTCCACGACGACGCAAAAGAGCCCCAAGGGGCCCTTCATACTGCCCCACACAAGCCCCAGAAGACCCTCACAGGTAATCTCCATGATGGCTCCGACTGAAGTGTACATGAAAGGCGCCACATGAGACAACATGCCTCGTCGTCCTCCTCTTCCTTATCCTGCTCCACATCGTCATCTTCGTCTGCTGCGACGACAGCGACGACAACACCTACAACTACGACCGCTACTACTACTACTACTACTACTACTACTACTGCTACTACTACTACTACTACTACTACTACTACTATTACTAATACTACGAGTACCAATACTACCAATACCAAAACCACTGCAAATGCAACAACAACTACTACTACTACTACTACTACCACCACTACTACTACTACTATTACTACTACTACGGCTACTACTACTACTACTACTACTACTACTACAACTACTACTACTACTACTACTACTACTACTACTACTACTACTACTACTACTACTACTACTACCACTACTACTACTACTTCTACTGTTACTACTGCTACAACTAATACTACCACTACGACTGCTACGCCAACTGCTACAACTATTGCTACTACTGCCACTACTACTACTACTACTACTACTACTACTACTACTACTACTACTACTACTACTACTACTGCTACTAGTACCACTGCTGCTACTACTACTACTACTACTACTGCGACGACGACTACTACTACTACGACTACTACTACTACTACTACTACTACTACTACTGCTGCTACTACTACTACTACTACTACTACTGCGACTACGACTACGACTACGACTACGACTACTACTGCGCCTACTCCGACTCCTACCACCATTACGACGACGACGAAACCTACTTCTACTACAACTGCTACTGGTACTAAGGCTACGGCTACGAGTGTTATTACTACAAAAGCTTACGACAACGACTACTACTACGACTACTACTACGACTATCACTACCACGACTACACCTACTACTACGACTTCTATGGGTACCACTCCCACTACTACTGCTACTCCTACTGCTACCACTAGAACTACTACAACGACAACTACTAGTCTTATTACTACTACTACTACTACTACTACTACTACTACTGCTACTACTACTACTACTACTACCACCACTACGCCGTCCACTACCACTTGCACTAGTGCTACTGCTGCTACTACTACCAGTACTACGCGACACCTGCTACTTAAAATGCTACTACTGCTGCTGCGACTACCGTTACTGCCACCACTACTGATGCTACTACTACTACTACTACGACCACCACTACTACTACTACTACTACTACTACTACTACTACTACTACTACTACTATCACTACTACTACTACTACTACTACTACTACTACTACTACTACTGCTACTACTGTTACTACTACTGCTACTACTACGCTACTACTGCTGCTACCTATACTGGTACTACTACTACCACTACTACTACTACTGCTACTACTACTACTACTACTACTACTACTACTACCACCACTACTGCTACTACCACTACTACTACTACTACTGATACTGCAACTTCTACGTCTACTGCTACGACGACGACTGCGACTATGACAGCAACTATTATCACTACTACGACTACTACTACTACTACTACTAGTACTACTACTACTACGACAACTACTACTACTACTACGACTACTACTTCTACTACTACTTCTGCTACTACTGCTAGTGCGCCCACTACTTCTGCAACGACGACTCGTACTACCACGATTGGTACGAGTCCTACTACCACTACTACTCCTACTCCTACGCCTACTACTACTACTACTACTACTACTACTACTACTACTGCTGCGGCTGCTACTACTACTACTACTACTTCTACTACTACTACTACTACTACTACTACTACTACTGCTACGACTACTGCTACTACTACTACTACTACTACTGCGACTTCTGCTACTACGACTACTACGGCTACCACGACCACCTGGCCGATTACGACTGTTACTACTGAGGCCACTACTACTACTACTACGACAGCGGCTACGACTACCACTGCTACTACGATGAATAATGCTACACTTACTACTACTACTACTACTACTACCACTACTACTACTACTACTACTACTACTACTACTACAAGTACTAGTACCAGTACTAGTACTACTACTACTACTACTACTACTACTACTACTACTACTACTACTACTACTACTACTACTACTATCACTATTACGACTACTACTGCTACCACTACTACGACGAGTACTACTACTACTACTACTACTACTACTACTACTACTACTACTAGTACTACTGCTGCTGCTGCTACTACTACTACTACTACTACTATTAATATGCTACTACTACTACTACTACTACTACTACTACTACTGCTACTACTACTACTACTACCACTACTACTACTACTACTACTGCTACTACTACTACTACTACTACTACTACTACTACTACCAGTACGATTAACGCTACCGCTGCCACTACTGCTGCTACAACTAAATACTACTACTACGGCTGCAACTACTAAGACAACGACGGCTACTACTACTACGACTACTACTAATAATAAAAGAACAACTACTGCGTACTGACACTGTTGCTACTGATATAGGCGACAGCCTCTACTGATATTTCATGTACTACTAGTTCAAACAATTATCACTACTACTACAACTACATCTGCTACTGCTCCTACGACCACTCCTACTACTACTACCACTACTAATGCAGCTACTACTACTACTACTACTACTACTACGACTACTACTACTACTACTACTACTACTACTACCTCTACTACTACGCCTACTACTACCCCTTCCCCGACTCCTACGACTACTACGACGACGACGACGACGACGAATAATACCCCTACTACTACTACTACTACTACTACTACGACTGCCAACACTACTACGACTACGACTACGACGGCTGCGTACCAAGGCAACGCCAGCTACCAATACTTCTACTACGACTGCTACTACTCCTACTACAACTACTACTACGATGCCACTACCACTGCTACTGCTACTCCTACTGCTACCAATGGTACTACTACTTCTACTACTACAAGTAATATTGCTACTTCTACTGCTACTGAGGCCTCCACTACCACTTGCAATACTGCTACCACGACGACGACGACGACTACTACCACTACTACTACTACTACTACTACTACTACTACTACTACTACTACTACTACTACTACTACTGCTAATACTACTACTACTACCACTACTACTACTACTACTACTACTACTACTACTACTGCTACTACTACTACTACTACTACTACTACTACTACTACTACTACTACGGCTACTACTACGCGACACCTACTACTAAACTTATCCTAACGAAACACCCTCTCATAAGCAATTGCTCGTAACGCGTTGCGGGTGCCGCATTCGGTGGGGCTCCCTATGGGGCCACAACACGCTGCCTTGGTTGGGGGAACCGCATGCGAACTGCGCCATTGGGACGGGCCTTCGGTGGAGCTCTCTATAGGGCCACGAAACGCTGCCCTGGGCGGGGGGACCGCATGCGAACTGCGCCACTGGGGCCGTCGGTGGAGCTCCCTATGGGGCCACGAAACGCTACCCTGGGTGGGGGAACCGCACGCGAACTGCGCCACGGGGGCCGTCGGTGGAACTCCCTATGGGGCCACGAAACGCTGCCCTGGGTGTTTGTCAAGCGTGTGATGTGTTGGGTGTGATTTGTGTGTCTGTGTGTGCATGTGATTCTGAGGCCCCAGGAGGCCCCAGGAGGCCCCAGGCGGCCTCAGGATGCCCCAGATGACCCCAGGAGGCTCCAGGAGGCTCCAAGAGGCTCCAGGAGGCCGCAGGAGGCCCAGGAGGTTCCAAGAGACCCCCAAGATGCTCCGAGGCGGGGTCTGGGGTACCAGACGGTACAGAAAGACCCAGGAGGCCCCAGGAGGTTCCAGGAGGCTCCCAAGAGGCTCCGAGGCGGGGTCTGGGGTACCAGGGGGCTCGATGTTGGGAGGATGTCTCAGGCAAAATCGCCATTATCTGAGAATCGGTGTCACAAATCATTGAAATTACAATGTGTTTTGGAAGTTGTGATGTTAGAATGTTGAAATTCCCATGTATTGTTGGACCCTCACGTCACGATCTGCCTAAAGGGTGCCACTGATGTTTGTAAGTTTGAGGATGTCCCTAGCGAACCAGCCAGACAAATCGCGAACGCCGCATTCAATTAATCGGCTCTGAGCTCTACTCCCTCGGAGAGGTGCGTATGATTATATATAGAGATGTTTATGAACATATATATATATACACATATATATATCTGTATAAACATGTTATACATGCATCGTATATGTGTATATATGTGCAGAATGCATGTTGATATACGCGGAACCTGCACCATGTTTATGTATACGCATACATACATACATATGTACATATATATGTATATACATATTTAGACATATATATATATAGACGTGTGCGCATCGCATGAATATTCCCATGTAGATATGTACACTTGACATGGCGAGGGCTCGGTCAGAACATAGACATATCGACCCTGCGAAGTGGAGGCTTCAAGGTGTAGGGACTTCGTCGCCGATGCAGCAGCTCGTACTGCGAGCGCGAGCCGCAGCGAGCCTGTGCCATCGAGGCGCCACGTGACCCTTTGTAGGGGCTCTGCACAGCGGGCGCCACGGTGCCTGCACGTGCGGCCTTCCCCTTCGCAGACCTGCGGGGTGTGTGGGCCTGCCTGCCAGGTGGGGGGAACGGGGGGAGCAACTTCGGGAGGGGCACGCTGGGTGTGGACCACGCACGCCCGCGAGGGGCCAACCATGGCACACCTCCAGAAGGCGCATCCCCAGCTTCAGGAAGGGGAGGCGGCCCTACACCCTCGCAAGACCAGGGGTGCTCTCGCGCTGCGAGTTCATAATCATCCTCGTAATCCTCTGCCTCCCCATCATCACAGTAGTCAGCGCTATCATCATCCCACCCTCATCTTCCCGTACCTCCCTCAACCGTCTGTTCCACCTACACTCGTTGTCATGCATCTCTGGTCCGTCTCCTCTTCCACCTTCCCCCTTCCCCTGCCCTCCTTGTCCTAAGTATACGCCCCCCTCGCTCTCCATTCCTCTTAATCCTCCTCCTCCTCCTCCTCCTCCTCCTCTTCCCCCCTCGTCCTGCTCTTCCTTCCTCACCTTCGTCAGTCCTCATCCCTTCCATCCTCCATCCTACCCGCATCGCCAGGACAGCTGAGTCCCGCGACGACTACCCCAACTATTGCCCCGTCATGTTGATACTTGCGAGCTCCCCCCCGAGGGCGAGGAGGAAGCGAGAGAGCGGACGCCAGGATTCCACTTGCTTGCCGCTCTAACATTACACGTGTCCTCCTACTGCCCACCCCATCCGCCTGTTGTCCGTCTCCCAACCCTGCGCGTGAACTCGTCAAGCAGCATTATGCCAAGCCGTCCCTTCAAACATAGCATCGTACCCTCCAAGATTTTCGGAAGTGCTCTGCAAGGCGGTAGCGACACAGTCGTGGGCTTGAACTGGCGAGAACCACCGTCGCTGAAATGCTATATCCTTGGGGGTTCCGCTGCGCCGATCGTCCTTACTCCACTCGCCCCCCTGGCACTGCCACTCGTGCGAGCTCCGCAGATCGGTTGCTGACATGCGCGACACCCACAAGGAATACGTCACCTAGCTCACCTGCTTCGCGGGACGTGCTGGAGAGAAGACAGCGAGCAGGGGGCGGGGGAACAGGAAACGGCAGGATTGGGAGGGGGAGGAGGGCAGCGCCCGGGAAATCGGGAGAGGGGGGAGGGACACGGAGAGGTGCGAGGAAAGACAGGGAGAGAGGACGGTTGCGATGGAAGGGGCGGCGATGGGAGGAAGCCGCAAGCTGGGAGTAAGGAGTGAAGGGGTAATAGGGAAGAGGGCGCTGGGAGAACGGCAGATCGAGACGCCCACCCTCTGCCCCCCCCCCTCCAGAGATCCCGGTGTCGTCCCAGAGATCCTGGGCCCTCAGCTTTGTCCTCTTGGGCTGGGAGATGCGTACCAGCCTCGAGCGTATCCCTATCCCTAAGATTGACACGCCAAAAGGCGATGACAATCTTAGGGATTCGCCCTCAAAAAATAAGGGATCCCTAAGATTGGCATCGTGATGAGGAGGTGCCCAGCATAGGGATAGGGATATGTTCCAGGCTGGTATGATGCGTGTACTTCCGCCAGCGGAAATTGGCCCAACTCACGCCCGCTGGCTTCCGCCAGCCTCCCGCTCGTTTCCGCTGAGAGCGGAGCTGCGCCGATGGCGAGGCCCTTGCCGTAGAGCGCCGTGTGTTTCTGGCACCTCCTCTCGGCCCCCCTCCTTTTCTGCTTCCTCCACTGCGTGTGGGCGCGGGCCATCAGCTGGGTGGGGCGCAGCTCAGCGCTGTAACTTTTCAGCACGCTTACACGGCTAATGCGTGCGATCCCCGCAGGGGGAGCGTGCGTAAGCGACTAGCAAAAGGAAGAGAACGAAGAGGACGACGACGACGACAACGTGGAGCCCGTGAAGGAAGACGATTGTGGAGGAGAGGCAGGACGACTAAGAAGGGGACGAGCAGAACTTTGACGAAGCTGGAAGCATCCACGGCTGCATTCGTAAGCCAAACATGCGGGGCTCGCGCGCCGGATGCACATGCGGAGGTCCAGCGTGCCAGTCCGCACGACGGCTAACGCCAGGCAGAGATGCGGCCACAGGTCTCCAGCTCTCGCCCAGGCCAGCCACGTCATGTTGCTCCCAGCTTCCTACGGGAGTTGGGGAAGGAAGAGCTGGGGAGGCGCGGGAGGACGAGGAGCAGCTGGGGAAGGCCGATGAGCAGCGGTTGGGGACGGCGCGGGGGGGTGAGGAGTTGGACACCGGGAAGGCGTTGTGGACGGAAGTGCGTGGAATAAGAGTTGGCGGTTGGTGCTGGAAGAATTAAGCGAACCGTCAAGGGAACGCGACCAAGTTGCTCGAACGCGCCCTGCAGAGAATCGAACAGCGAGAAGACTCCCCAGCTACACATAGCCAGAACACAGGACCATCAGCCACTACCTAGGCGGCGCCCCGCGCATGAACTTCTTGAGTCGGGTCTTCTGCACAGAGGGACGACGGAGGAGGAGGTGGAGGAGGAGGAGCATTCTGGTGTGAGTCATCTTACCGCTTAAAGAATAAACTTCGAGCCGGTGGCCCCAGGTGCGACCGCCCCTGGAGTCACCTGGCTCACTAGTTTGACCCCCCCCCCCCAAGGCCGATCGTCCCAGGGGGGAGGGGCAACGTCTGACAGACCCTTCTGCTCTCAAGCTTCCAGGCTCTCAGGAGGAGCTGGGGAAGGCGCGAGGTGAGGGGGCGCAGAGTTGCGGGATGGGCGCTCGCCCGCCAGATGTGAGAGCGTCGGCTCGCAGCTGGGCGCCGAAGGTGCGGCCACCGGCCCGGGCTCGAGGCCGGCGACCTGGCTTCGCGCGACATCTCCCTCTCCCCCTGGGCGACGTCGAGCGGCCCTGCCCTCTTCTCCCGGCCCGCTCCTCCTCCTCCTCGTCCTCCTCCTCCTCCTCCTCCTCCTCGTGCTCCCTCTCCTCCTCCTCCTCCTCCTCCTCCTCCTCCTCCTCCTGCTGCCCCATCCTCCTCCTCTAACAGCGGTTCCTCGTCCTCCTCCTCCTCCTCCTCCTCCTCATTCTCCTCACACTCTTCCTCATCATCCGCGGCACCCTCGTTCTCATCCTAAGACTCATCCTCGAACTCATCCGCATCCTCTTCAGCGTCATGTGAGTTCTTCACCGCCTTCATGCCCCCTGCCCCCTCCTCCACGCCGTCCTCGAACGAGAAGTCCCAATTCGTGCCTGGACTGCCCGGACTGGCCCTGTGCGCCGCATCTGGCCCCCCGCGTGCTGGTACCCTACATTTGGGGCCCTGTGCGTTGGTGCCGAGAGGTTGGCGCTCTATGGTTGGTGCAGGTTTGTTTGTGCTGTATGGCCCTCTGTGCTTCGTGGTCGGCTGGCTGCTCGCGCTTCGTGCTCCAGGGTGCCTCAGAGTTAGTGTCCGACGGTTGGGTAGTGCCATATGGTGCCCTGAGGGTTGTGGTCGACGGCTCGCGTTTGGTGCCATATGGTTGGTGCCCCGTGTTTGGTGCAGCATAGGTGGTGGCCCGCAGTGCCCCATGATAAGTGCCGTACAGTTGTTGCTCCGTGGAGACCTACGCATGGTGCCCAATTTTGGGAGATGTGCAGTTGGTGCCCTACACCCCCATTATGGCGCTCTATTGTAATTGCCATGTGGTCGGCACTGTATGGTGACATGCGGCTGGTGCACTGTGGCTTGCCCAACATGGCTTGTACATCGGGAGTGCTAGAACCCACTGTTTGAGGTCCGAGGGCTGGCATCTTGAGAAAGACATACCCGCACCGTAGATCTTCATGCCGAACTAATTGTCTCGAAATGATATTCGATCTGCAACCCGAAGTATCCCTACGGCGCGCACTGTCTGGCAGGGATGCAGACTCGTGCCGCTTCCTTCACCACGTATCCGAGCGCGCCAACCTCCTGCGTTATCGAGAGGGGGGGGAAGGCGCAAGGCGGAGCGCAGGCAAGGACAAACGCGAAAGGCGGGCACGGCCGCAGAGTCCAGAATGGCCCATCGGTGTCATCTTGATCCCGGCAGGGGGAAGGAAGAAATAATCACCGTCGTCGTCGGCGACGGCTCGAAATCCGGGTCGCGCTCCTCGCCGGAGTCGGGATCGAGAAAATCGAAAGCGGAGCGCGCTCGCCCCCGATCGTGCCCACTCGGTAACATGGATCCAACCAGCATGCCTGCGCGGTGGGTCCGGGCGGGCAGGTGCTGACGTGCGAATCAGACATGCGGATCCCTGAGCCATGCGAATTCTTCCGTCGGCTTGTAGCCTTCACGAACTGCCCCCCCCCCCAATTAAATTAGCCTGGCGAAAGACCCAACCATATGCAGTTGTGAGTACCGCGATTGTGAATACCTCCTTCGGTGGCGCTCCATATGGGACCACGAAACGTTGTACTGGGTGGGTGAAACGCAGGGAGCAAGGGCCGTGTTGGGTGGTGGCGGACGCATGCGGGCGGTGCCACTGGGACTTTCGGTGGAGCCCCTTTATAGGGGCCACGAAACGCTGCACTGGGTGGGTGAAACGCAGGGGGCAAGGGCTGTGCTGGGTGGTGGCGGGCGCACGCGGGCGGTGCTACTGGGACCTTCTGTGGAGCCCATTATGGGGCCACGAAGCGCTGTATTGGGTGGGTGAAACGAAGGGAGCAAGGGCTGTGCTGGGTGGTGGCGGACGCATGCGGGCGGTGCCACTAGGACCTTCGGTGGAGCCCCCTTATGGGGCCACGAAGCGCTGTACTGGGTGGGTGAAACGCAGGGAGCAAGGACTGTGCTGGGTGGTGGCGGACGCATGCGGGAGGTGCCACTGGGACCTTCCCTGGAGCTCCCTATGGGGCCACGAAGCGCTGTACTGGGTGGGTGAAACGCAGGGAACAAGGGCTGTGCTGGGTGGCGGACGCATGCGGGCGGTGCCACTGGGACCGTGGAGCCCCGTAACGGGGCCACGAAGCGTTGTACTGGGTGGGTGAAACGCAAGGAGCAAGGGCTGTACTGGGTGGTGGCGGACGCATGCGGGCGGTGCCACCAGGACCTTCGGTGGAGCTCCTTATGGGGCCACGAAACGCTGTACTGGGCGGGTGAAGCACAGGGAGCAAGGGCTGTGCTGGGTGGTGGCGGACGCATGCGGGCGGTGCCACTGGGACCTTCGATGGAGCCCCCTTATGGGGCCACGAAGCGCTGTACCGGGTGGGTGAAACGCAGGGAGCAAGGGCTGTGCTGGGTGGTGGCGGACGCATGCGAGCGGTCCCACTGGGGGCTTCGGTGGAGCCCCCTTATGGGGCCACGAAGCGTTGTGCTGGGTGGGTGAAGCGCATGGGAGAAGGAGGAGAGAGGGGAGGAGGGGGAGTAGGAGGAGAGGAGAAGAGGAACGCGGGAACCGTCTCTTCAAAACGAGGACCCAACACAACAGGATGGTTATGACAAATGGCCCCATGGGGCCATCGGAGAGCAAACAGGAACTGCTGACAGGCTAGCTTATTGTGATCAGATACGCGTGACCCCGTGGACACAAGACCGCGTGTCTGCAGGATCTCGCTCTGGAAGCCAAACCGCGAAGGAGTTGGCGGGAAAAGGACGAAGGGGCGATTCCTGCACGAGGCCCTCCCCCGGGCGCGCACCGGAGAGGGGACGGCGGCGCCCAAGAGGGCCACGAGCAGTGGGCGTCTGCGGTCCACGGCCTGCCAGCGACGCGAGGGGGAGGAGCAGGAATACGACGACTACGACGACGAGGAGGAGGCATAAGGAGAGAATGGGGATGAGGAAAGAAGAGGAGGCACCGGCGGAGGAGGGCGAGGAGAGGGAAGGGGCGAAAAAGAATGACGACGGAGACCGAGGTTGTGAGGAAGAGGCGCAGGCGGAGGAGGACATGGAGAAGGGAAGGGGCGAAGGCGGGTGACGACGGGGAGGGGGGAGGCCCAGGATGAGGAAAAAGGAAGAAGCGCACGCGGAGGCGCACCCGTTGGACCGAGGATGAGGCGCAGGCGGAGGCGCACCCCTTGCGGAGTGCCTCGTGGTAGCATGAAACCCGATCTACTCACCCCGAGTGTTCACAGAGCTGCTGCCCACCGCTAGGCGACGCGCGGTGCGAGATCGCCTTGCTGCAGCTCGAGGCCGCTCGAGCGCAGTAGTCCTGGTCTGACTCGCAGACCCAGAAGACGGGCACGCAGAGAGTTAACATAGGGAAATCAGACATCAATAGCTACAGCATGAGACAGCAGGGGTTCACTCGAGCAGGCGGAGAACTTATGTGGTATAATGCACGCACGCGCAACGGGGTTTGTATACCCACGCGCTCCAGACATCCACGAAGCCCGACATGCCGACCTCTTGGATTCCGCGTGCCGCTGCCCTTGGTTCGGGGACGCACGGTGCGAGAGCGCCTGGCTGCAGCTCGAAGCCGCGGATTCGCAGACGCAGGACGGGCACGCGCAGAGTGAAAACTGGATCGCCAGACATCAAGAGCGACAGCATGATGCAGCAAAGATTTACTCGAGCAGACAGAAAACGTATGTGCTACAATACACGCACGCGCACATGCGCCCCAACTCACAAGTGAGTGTCGAAGACGGCGTCATATGTAGTGGGCCGCACTCAGGCACTCTAAACATTGTGATATGTTGTCCTTGACTTCACACCGACATCCAGAGACACATGGCTTCACCAACTGCCTATATCTCCTGGGCGTTTCCTAACATTGAACAGAGGCTTCAGGGTGGAGGCCTATATGGAAACGAACCAGTTTGGGTCCAATACCCCCAAGAGGGAGAATGGTGAGATCAATGTCGTGCTTGGAGGCCTGGGGAAACCATTGGCGAGCCTTGGCAGCCACATTAGGAGCAAATGGGGAGGCTGTCAGAGCCCGTCGGAGAGTCCTGGTGGGAGTCCATTGGGTAGTTTTCCTGTTGGAGATACCAATATGACCAAGCACACACTGGTACTAGTTATACGCGCGGCACATCTGAAAACAGATCGATTCCCTGTACGCCTCTGACCACCGATGCTCTATCACAAAGCTCTGGCACTGGCACGAAGGGAGTGGCATTCCAGCTTGCACTCGAGAGGAGCACCTCTCTGCAGCACAGCAGGGGGAAACGAACACCGCATCGCACAAGTCAAAAGCTGTTGGCCTTTCGCTTGCAATTAAAACCTTTAAACGTGACGTCGCGGATGTGCGAACCAGGGGAGCACATAGGGTGGGCATATACATTGTACGCACGTATGTCCGATGCCAATCCGAAGGCCAAGCCTTCTGCCCGATTCGCGCCCTGGCAAGACGAGAAGCCCCAAGGCCCACCTTGATGCCAAGGTACATACCTACCACACTGTGTTCCCAGCAATGTATATCTAGACCCTCATCCCGACACAAGCGCACAATAGTAGCAAAGGTTCAATCAAGGACGTGGGAGGATAAGCTTACATGTAAGATCATTGAGTTCGAGCCCTGGTGCGGGAGTAGCAGCACGCAGAACCTCTACAACCATAGGTAAGATCCGGACCAGGCAATTGATAAGTAGTCAGCACATGCAGTAGTGCACACACAGAACGCGTAAGATGGGGTCGAGTGCGAAGGCGGAGGAGGACGAGAAGAAAGGGGCGAAAGAGTGAAGACTGGGAGGGGAGGAGACCGAGGATGAGGAAGCAGGCGGAGGAGACGCAGGCGGAGGAGGACGAGGAGACGAAAGGCGCGAAAGAGAGTGACAACGGGGAGGGGGGGACGAGGGGGCAGCACCAAAGAACGAAACAGAGACCTCGGCAGCCGCCCTCAGCCAGACACTCTGCGCCCACGCGCCCCCCGCATGCAAGGCGATTGTAAGATCACGGATGCCGGTTCACTCATTGCGCAAGCCTCGGGCTCACCTTCGGGGCCACCGGTCGAACACCTGCCACTGGTCCATGTCTTGGAGGCGCACCTCTTACTTCCACCGGCTTCCGCAGGCCTTCCGCCGGCGAAACTGCCCTCGTTTTACTCCCGCCGACTTCCGCCGGCCTTCCGATCAGGAAGAGATAGCAACCTCTCGACCCCTCGAAGACGAGGCCCGATCCCTATCCCCACGGGCATGGCCCTGGCCCCACTGACCGGCTTACCCCCCTAGATGAGGATACAGGATCCAGGGTCAAGGGTTCACAGGCCCCGCCCCCAGATGGGATTGGTCCCAGGGTTCCACAGGCCTTCCCCCCATCCCCACCAGATGGGATGGAGGGTGACCGACGACGCCGACGCCGACGCCGACGCCGACGCCGACGCCGCTGCCGAAGCCGACGCTGACGCTGCCGCCTACGCCGACGCCGACGCCAACGCCGACGCCGACGCCGACGCCGATGCCGAAGCCAACGCCGACGCCGCTGCCGCTGCCGCTGCCGCTGCCGCTGCCGCTGCCGCTGCCGCTGCCGCTGCTGCTGCCGCTGCCGCTGCCGACGCCGACGCCGACGCCGACGCCGACGCCGACGCCGACGCCGACGCCGACGCCGACGACGACGACGACGACGACGACGACGACGACGAACAAAGGACGACGGATGACGGACGACGGACGAAGGACGACGGACGACGACGAATCACCCCACACCAATGGGAGGGCAGGGGGTGCACTGGCACTCTCCACCACGACACCCCATCACGGCCACGACCAGGGCGGGGAGGAACGATCCCATCCATTCGCGAGCGAGGCCATCGCGAGGCTCAAAGGCGTACCCGTCCAGCGGGGGAGGGGATCGATCCCATCTGCAGGGGGAGGGGAGGAGGGGGTACGGGCGACCACAACCACACACACCAGACAGGGGATGGAGACACGGTCGACAAGGGGGATAGGGGCAGTCGACTAAGAGGGAATACCGGTATCCAACCTCGTATCCCTCCTCCATCCTCGCTCATTCTCCTCGTCATCCTCGTCCTCGTCGTCGTCCTCCTCTTCCTCCTCATCATCCTCCGCCTACTCTTCCCACCCTCCTCTTCCTTGCATCACCCTTTCCTCCTCATTGTCATCCCTCTTAGCAGTTTGCGGGATTCCTAGTCGCCTGGGTTGCGGACCTCAGGGCCTCTGGAAACTTCCAATGTTTGCAATTTCAAGCTTCACATGTTCTTTGAAACATTGAGAAATTCTGAACTTGTAGGGATCCGAATATTTGGGCTGCGGACTAGAGGGCCCCTGGAAACTCAAATTCTGAAATTATGGAAGATCTAGAAATTAAGCAAAGTTTGGATGTTGCCCATGCCATTTCTCATTGACATTCTGGGTGGTCCAGATTTTGCGGGATTTCTAGTCGCTTGGGCTGCGGACTTCAGGGCCCTTGGAAATTTCAATGTTCGACTACATCCCAAAATAAAATGAATGGCATTCGGGTCTGGACTTTTCGGGATTCCGGGCCGCCTGGGCTGCGGACTCGAATGAGAAATTTCTTGAAATCAAACAACTCAACATTTTTAGAATTTCAATATAACTGAACATGTTTAAATTCTGGGGGGTCCGGACTTTTCCGGACTCCTGGTCCCTTGGGCTGCTGGTCCCTTGGGCTGCGGACTTCAGGGCCCCTAGAAATCAAAATGTTGCTATCACTTCTTGCGAGTTTCATCTGATAAACATCAAACACTGTGAAATTGTGACACGTTGTCATACATGTAGAACTTTTTAAATTCTCGGGGGTCTGAAGTTGTCGGGATTCCTGGTCGCTTGAGCTGCGGACTCCAGGGCCCCGGGCCCCTGGAAATGGTTGTTTAACTCTTGTGTTCTATAAACAATGTTTGTTCTCGCATTGGAATTCTGAGAGGGTCAGGAGTTCTCGGGATTCCGGGTCGCCTGGGCTGCAGGACCTTCCCACCTCATCCAATATTCCTCCTCTCGCCCTTGGTCTCAGTATTCTCCCACGCATTCCACCTCGTGCTCCTCACGCCCTAAGGAGAAGGAGGAAAAGGAGGAGGAGGAGGTAGGAGGGGCACGAGGGATGTGGAGGAGGAGAGGTGGGTGGGCGAAGAGAAGGGAAAGGAGAACCAAGACGAGGACGAGAAGCAGGGGAAGGCGGAAACCGGATGGATGCGTGGAAGAAAGGACGCGTGGGAGGACGACGACGATGATGATGATGCTGATGATGATGATGATGCTGATTATGATGTTGATGGTGATGGTGGTGGCGATGATGCTCATAATGATGTTGATGATGATGCGGTTGGTGGTGCTGCTGATGATGATGCTGAATGATAAGGAAGGCGACGACGACGATGATGCTGATGATGGTGATAGTGCGGATGATGGTGATAATGAAGATGGTGGTGGTGATGATGATGGTGGTGGTGGTGATGATGTTGATGATGCGGATGGTGGTGCTGATGATAATGCTGATGACGACGATGATGATGAGAACGCTGACGATGAGGATGACGGCGACGACGATGATAATAATGATGGTAATAATGATGATGATGGTGATGATGATGATGGTGGTGATGATGATGGTGGTGGTGATGATGACATTGGTGTTATTGATGATGCGGATGCTGGTGGTGCTGCTGATGATGATGACGATGCACATGGTGATCATGATACAGGCGATGAGGACGAGGATGAGGATGATGATGATGTTGATGACAGCGACGACGGCGCGATGATGATGGTTATGATGTGAATGGTGGTGGTGATGATGATGGTGGTCATGATGATGATGGTGGTGATGAAGGTGATGATGTTAATTATGTTGATGATGTGGATGGTGGTGCTGATGATGATGATGATCCTGAGGATGGCGACGGCGACGATGCTGATGATGGTGATGATGATGATGATGAGGATGGTGATACTAACGATGGCGGTGAAGCTGATTGCGATGTGGTGATGATGATGATGATGTTGATGATGATGATGCGGATGGTGGTCCTGCTCCGGATGATGATGGATATGATGATGCTGTTGATGATGAGGACGACGGTGAGGATGACGATGACGATGGCGACGACGACGACAAGAATGGTGATGAGGTGATGATGAGGGTGACGGTGAGCATGATGATGGTGGTGATGACTACGATTATGATGATGGTGGTGATTATGTTGATGTTGATTTTGATGCTGATTATGATGCTGATGATGATGATGATGATGATGATGATGAGGATGATGAGAATGATGATGACGAGGGTGATGGTGAAGCGGATGGCGGATTGCGGACCTCGTTGCACCCTCCCCCCCCCGAGGCGAGGCGAGGGGCCTGCTGGCCGCCGCCGCCGCGGGGCGCCGGCAGCACGCGCGGCCGAGGGGAGCTCGGCGGCAGGGCGGCCGGAGCCAGCAGGCCTTTGCCCCCCCCCCCCTCCTTCGTTTGCCAGTCCTCCCTCGGCTTCCCCTTCTCGCTTGCCCTCGCTCGGCTCCCCTCTTGCCCGCAGCTCTCTGGCCGCCCCCCCTCCCCTCGTGCCTCCGCCCCCCCTCGCTCTCTGGCCCCCCCCCCCTCACATGCCACCATGACGTGTGCTCAGAGAGGACCCTGATCAATGCAGGGAGAGTTGGCGCAGACCCTCCCTTGGCGCCACCCTGATGGATGCCCAGCATGCGAGGCGGGGATTCATCCGCAATCAACGCCTGGGGGGCCGATCGTGGATCTGGGCAGGAGGTGGATATGGACATACCACGAGACCTCTGGGCGTGAGTGGTGTAAGGGGTTTCCTCTTCTTCCCCATAGGGGGAGGGCTCATCACTGTTCCCTTTTAATAAACGCCCCCTCCCCCAGGCGACCGGCAGACAACCAGGACCAATGAGACACCCCCCCACCCCTGCCAAAAAACAATAAGAAACACACTTTGGGATAAAAACTTGGGTCATGCTCGTGGACCCCGCGAATCCTTTGTATATTGTGTTGACCTGGGCGGCGGTGCCCTCACATTGCCTGCTTCGCACAAGGCTGCCATCCCTGTCGAAAACAATACAACATGCACTTCGCGGCTAAATCTGGACCGCGCGCAGCCACCCCGCGATCACTCTCTATTGGTGTTTGACAAGGACCGCGGGGGAGACACCATGTTGAGCTTCCCGCCGCGATTGTGCATTGGGTTTTGATATGGATGGTGGGGGGCGACATGTTTCCCGATGTGCGCTGTCACGTACGCGGGCGCACCTGGCACACTCCGAGCGTGCCCCGGACGTGGCGCACCTGGCGCGGCTGGACCATGCCGCACGCATGGCGCACGTGACGCATCTGGTGCACGAGTCGTGCCTGGCACGCTTGGGCCCCACGGGTACCTGGCGCACCTGGAGCGCCTGGCACGCGTGGCGCATCTCGCCCCATCGCGCACATGGGGTCTATATTGGTTCCCAGTAGCTGCCCGTCCATAGACGACCGCTGAACATGCTGAGGCCCTCGTGCTACTTATGTGTTGGGAGTGCGGGTGGGAGTGGGCGAGACAACTGAGAAATTCCCTATTGAAAAACACCCCCTCCCCCAGGCGACCAGCAGCCACCCGGGACGAATGAGCCCCCATCCCACCCCTTTGCCTCCAAATCTGGCGCATGCGCGGGCGCTTCGCGACCACTTTGCATTGGTTTTCCCCATATCCAAAGTTGGGTTCTGATTTCTCTGCACACCCCGCGCCGTCTCCGTCTCCGCTCTTCCTCACACTCATAATCGTCATCATCACTCACATACTCACACACCCACACACTCATCATGATGGTTGTGATGATCACTCTCATCATCATCATCATCATCATCATCATCATCATCATCATCATCATCATCATCATCATCATCATCATCATCATCACCATCATCATCATCATCATCATCATCAGGCCTGAATATGGCGGGAATATCAGGCGGGAGCGTCCTGTGAGTGAATTGCAAAGAAAGATCACGCGGGAAACTCCTCCCTATGGGACCCGCAGCTCAATTTTGTTGATCCGAGCGGGTCATCCCCAAACATGTAACTACCGCTACTTTTGGGCTCATCAGTCTTGGATATGGAGGGAGTATCAGGCGAGAACTGCGTCTGTGACTGAATTGCGATGAAGTCTTCGACGGGGGCCGTCTGGGAGTCAATTTCGCGGAAGTCTCAGGCGGAAGCCTCCTCCCTGCGGGGCCCGCAGCCCATGTGTTCGCCACGTGCAACATTATGTCGCTGTTTTTCTAAGCTCATCCCCGCGAACGTTCTCCCTTCAACCCTCTTCCTCACCATCAGCATCGACATCATCGCATGCACACACTCACGCACTCATACACTCATCATGATCATGATCATGATCATGATCATCCGCATCATCGTCATCAAGATCACCCTCAGGCATCGATATGGCAAGTGTATCTGGCGGCAGCCCCGTTTGCAAGTAAATTGCGACGAGGCCTCCGTCGGCAGCCTCGCGGGAACCTCCTCTCTGAGGAGCCCGCAGCTCATGTGCTTCATCAGAGCGGGTCATCCTCAAACCTCTAATTGTAATGATGTTTGGTCTCCACGGGCTTGAATACGGACGGGATACCAAGCGGGAGCCTCGTCTGTGAGTACATTGTGAGGAAGTCTCAGGCGGAAGCCTCGTCTTGGAGTGACTTGCGGGAAATCCCAAGCGGGAGCCTCCCCGTGGTGGGGCCCGCACCCTTGTTTCAAAATGAGAGGGTCATCCTCAAACATGTAACTGTCATCACTTCTGGGCTCCACAGGTCTGAGTGTGGAGGGAGTATCAGGCGGGTATGAGTGAATTGCGGTGGGGTCCCAGGCGGGAGCCTCGTCTGGGAGTGAATTGCGGGAGAGTTTCAAACAGGAATCTCCTCGCTATGGGGCCCGCAGCTAATTCTCTAATCGGAGCGGGTCGTCCTCAAACCTGTAATTGTAATGATGTTTGGTCTCCATAGACTTCAATATGGACGGAATATCAAGCGGGAGCCTCGTCTGTGAGTAAATTGTAAGGAAGTCTCCAGCGGGAGCCTCGTCTGGGAGCTAGTTGTAGGGAAGTCCCTGGCAGGAGCCTCCTCCGTTTGGGGCCCACAGATCATGTTTTTTGCCACCCGACAGATTGGGGTCGCCAAATCAAAAAGCAGAACTCCCGGCCCGCCCATCCTGCATACCGCGGTCTCCAGATCCCCAGGCTTCCGATAATCCCTCGTGGTCCCGCCCCTCCCCCCGCCCTGCATACCGCGGCCGCCAGATCCCCAGGCTCCCGATAATCCCTGGTGGTCTCGCCCCCTTCCCCGCCCTGCATACCGCCGCCGCCAGGTCCCCAGGCTCCGGATGATCCCTGGTGGTCCCACCCCCCGCGCCGACTCGCCCACTCTGCATACTGCGGCCGCCAAATACCTAGGTCCCCCGATGCTCCTTGAGGGTACCGCCCCCGGCGCCGACTCGCCCACTCTGCATACTGCGGCCGCCAGATCCCCAGTTCCCCCACACAACAGAGCATAACACCACGCCTCCGAACAGAACATTTCCAAGCATCACATGCCAGATCATGACAGACCATATAGTAGCATAACATACTATGGCAGAACAGTGCATACCATAGCACAGCATCACAGCACATATCATTCCATAACATGACAAATCAAGCACACCAGCATATGCCAAAATAACCCCCGAGAGGCCTTAAAGGGGACCCCCAAGAGGCCCCCAAGAGGCCCCCAAGCGGACCCCAAGAAGCCCCAAGGGGCGTCCAAGAGAGACCCAAGACGCCCAAGATGCTCTGAAGACTAGACTCCCAAGACGTCCTAAGAGACTTTCAAGAGGCCCCTAAGGCGCCCCAAGAAGCCCTCAAGAGCCGCCAGGAGGCCCCCAAGACGCCCCAAGAGGCCTCCAAGAGACCCTGAGAGACATCCCATGAGACTGCAAGAGGCATCCAAGAAGCCTCTGGCCCACGGAGGCTCCGCGAGATCTCCAAATGAGGCCACGCTCCCCCGATTACTGCAACCTGGATGGGCTGGTTGGGGTACATATGCGAAGCGAAAATAACTCAAACTCCTTCCTGGTGGGGGTTTGCCACAGGCAGCATGATACCGGCATTTGATACTAGCATTCGTGCTCCTCCCTATCCTCCTCCATGCTCCTGCTCCATACCCCTCCTCCTGTGCAATCCCTCCCTTTCCCCATCGGGCCCCAATCCTTCCAGAAACCTGAGAACCCACTCTAAATCCACATCAGAACCCACAAATAACAATCAAACACCCTCCCCCCCTCCGCGCCCCCGTCCAACACCCTGCTCCTTCACGATATGGTGCTATGATGCTCCCACACCTTCCGATGATGCCGGCCACGGCTGCAATCACCGACGGCGCGATGAAAGCAGCCCTCCATGCTGTACACCTTCGCGCTCTTGACAGCATCCTCCCTCCCTTTCTCCCCGTTCCTTTCTCTCCCCTTCCTCCTCGTCCTTCTCCTCATCCTCCTTCTCCTCCTCCTCCTCCTCCTTCTCATCCCCTTCATCCCCCTCCTCCGCCCGTCACCCTTCTCCCTCCTTCACCTCCCCATCCACATCCTTATGTTCCGCCTGCTCCTCCTCCGCCTCCTCCTTTTCGTCTCCACATTTGAAGAAAGAGCGCGTTTCACGGGCGCTTGCCTTGGGAACATTCGGCGGCGCGTTTCGACACGTGTGGTGGGCCCCCCCCCCAACACTCGGCGCCGTCGATCAGAACCAGGAGGACTCCCCTCCCCCCTAAACCCCCCCTCCCGAAACCCCCCGCCCCCCTCCTCCCCCCAAAGGGCCCCCCCTCCAGGGCCGGCGCCAGCGCTGGCGGCCGCTAGCAGCGCCGACGGCGGGGATGCAGCGACGATGACCAGAGGCAGCACCACCTCCCCCCCCGCGCCGGCGCCGGCGCTGGCGCCAGCGCCGGCGCTGGCGGCGGCCAGCAGCGCCGACGGCGGAGACGCATCGACGATTACCACCACTACCACCACCACCACTACCACCACCGCCACCTCAACCTACCACCACCACCACCAACCCACCACACAACCACCAGAACCTCCACCACCACCACAACCACCACCACCACAACTCACCACCACCACCAGAAAAAAAACCACAACCACTACCACCACCACCACAATCTACCACACCACCACCACCGCCGCCACAACCACCACCACTGCCAGCAGCACAACCCACCACCACCATCACCACCACCACCAAACCACCACACCACCGCCACCGCAACCACCACCACCACCGCCACCACCACCACCACCACCACCTACACAAACCAACGCCACCGCCACAACCCACCACAACCACCACAAACCACCACCACACCACCACCAAACCACAACCACCACAACCCACCACCACCACCACCCACCACCACCACCAGAACCACAAACTACCAC